AAGCTCGGAACAGGATGGAAAGGTTGGTCTGTGCTACTGATGGCCTGACTCATTTTTCTTTGCACAAATTGCAGGCATAAGTCTCCTAAAAGGACTCCCCATCCTCCTGGACAGTTTCTTCAGAGAACATGGTCCTGAAACTACTTGATTTCTAAGACTGTCAACATAAGAAACTTGAAACGAATAAGCTTCTTGTAGGCAAACTGCTACTCCCAGTTTGATGAACCTCTTCATTTTAACCCACAATTTGCTTAAGTTAACTATATTAACTTAATTAACTTAATTAACTATAGGTACCATGGGACCATGTTGCAGGAGTCAGAGTGACTAAGGCAACCCTAACTAGATTTGCACTGCTTATATCAAGCTTCTTCCCCTTCCCAGACTGACACAGATGTGAAGTGTAAAGGAAGATCACAAAGGAGTATTAAGTGGTGTATGTACCAGTGACCTTAAATTGAAGCTGGGCAAACGCATTGGGGGGTGCATCCCATTTCTCTCTCATTACTATCCACTAGGAAATTCTGCCCTGCTTTACACCAGAACTTTCTTCAATACTAATTGAGATGGTGTGCAGCATTTACTAGGGTTAGACTTAAGCTGTCTGGTAGCTCCTCACTTCTTAAATAATTCAGAGTTCCCAGTGAAGAAGAATTTCTCAGGAAATCTGCAGAAAGAGACTTGGGATCATGTAGCATGTTCTCTGCATTGCTCACTGAGAAGGCTGCCATGAATTGGCATTGGAGAAGGTGAATTCTGAGTAGCTGCAGCTAAAACAGAGGCATGCTCTGTTTTCTTTCCACAGGAGCCGCTTTGTGAGCAGACACAGCTATGCCTCTTTGATCCAGTAGCTGCTCATTAGAAGTCCACAGGGAACTGGCAAAGCAAGAAGAGATCTAAGTCTTGAGCAAGTAGGAATATGCTTGGCAGTCTACAATAGGGAGTAAGGAAAATTCAGAGCTAAGTGCCAGGGAGGGAGTAACAAAGCCCTTACTTGCAACTTACAAGTGTAGGTGGGTAGGAAGATCAGAGGAGATGTGTGGCACTGCAGGGAAAGCAGCATGCAATTAGGCTGCAACAGCATTGCAAAGGGAGTTTTTTCCAGGGGTAGATAGCAGGTCAGAGGCATACCCAGTGGTTAAGTAGAGCTTATGTGCTTGTGTTGGGCTTGCTGCAGTCCAGGAACTTTTCAAGCTGCATGGCCAAACAGCAGAGTCATGAACATAGGTCTGGACATACCCCTAACCATTAGCAGCCAGCCTGCATTGCCTGCTTAGACCACAAAGTTCATAACTGTTAAAATTAACAGTTACCTGCTATCATGGTGGGACCTTCGGCTTTATTGTATTAAATGGGAATGTGGCAGAAAAATCATTTATAAACAGATGCAGACAGCAGCTTTCCAAATGGATGTTCTATTTGCTGGAAAAAAAAAATGCTAAAAGACAAGAAAACAAAAATTTGAAAATAAAGACTGATTCCTGTGGTTTCAGCAGTCCTTTTGAGGATGGGGAACCTGGCTTACAAATCCTGGCAATCAGACACATGGACATTGTCTCAGAGTGTGATCCTGAGAAAGCCAGTCTGGGAGAGAGAGCCAGCCTTAGACCTCCTTCCCAATTCCTTCTGCAGAGTCGTGACCTCAGCCAGCAGGACATGTGGCTGCATCTGCCCTCAGTCTGTGTGGCCAGATGGTATCCTCCCAGCCCACGGACCAGCCACTGGGCAACATCTGTAAGCATACTAATTAGCAAGCCCACAGCCAGATGAGGAAATGAAGGCAGCCAAACACAGCTACCTGACACATGGCCACGCAGCCAACTCTCAAGACAGATTTGTTTGAACGTGCGTTAACTCCTACATCACCACACAGCTATAAAGTTCTAGCTCTGGTTTCGCTCATACAGAACAATGCAAGCCATCAACAAGCTAATTAACCTAGGCAGAATAGAGAGCTGTCACTAGAAGATCTGAGAGCCCTTGCAGAAGGAAGGAAATATCCCAGCACACAAGGATGGATAGTTAGGCACACAGGCTCACAGGAATGTGAGTTGCCCGGCATTACCCGGGAGGCTCAGAACAGCTGCCTCCTGGACTTTCACCACTGCTTATGCCCATAAGCAGAAAGGCCTAAAGAGCTGTAGGAAGCACAGCTGGTCAGTCCCTCTTTCAGGCAAAATAATTAGCCTCCACTCCACCCCCCTCTGTGGTGAAAGGGCATTGCAATACTGGTTGAATCACCTTTCAGAGAGACTGAGAATTAATACTCATGTAAAATATTTGGCTGCTGTTTGTGTTGCTTGAGTTAAATCCCAGTTTCAGTAAGCAATTTCATTCAGTTGAACAAGATTTCTACATATTTTCTTCTTATTCTTGGAATACTTTTCCCAGTTTCCTCTCTCTAACTGCCACATAACATGGCTATGCATAAATAGATGCTAATTGTTATTATTGCTGCTTCACAGATGGAGAGTCTGAAGGAAAGGGCAATACAAATGCTAAACATATTCATCTCAGAACTGGTTTTAGGGAACAAATAGCAGTTCTGTTTTCTGCCCTCTATGGTGACACATATCAACACAGTCTTGAGAGCCACTCACATAGTCACCACATTCTGTGCACTACAACACTGCACCTTATAGGTCTACATAGTAAGGCCTGGAGCTTCCAAATGTGGTGATTTTTGTTTTGTTTAGTTTTAATGGGAACTACAGCAAGGAAAAAAAAAAAAGCACAAAGTCTGTACAATTAAGCAAGCATTCAGGTGTTGGGAAATGAGAATAGAAACTCTCATTGCTTCAAGCAGGTTCTGCCCAACAGATTTCAAGCAGTCTTTCCTCCAAAAGGTCAGAAGCGCCCCAAGATAAGTTATGCTTCTTCTCACCTAGCTTGAAACACATTGATTGCCAAATTGCTGTGTTTACCAGAAAAAGATGGAGGCATCTGTCACAAGGTGGCCACATGGGCTTCTCATCTTGCACGTTGAATGGTTAGAACATTTGCTTAGTGTGTCTTAACACCAGCTCTTTCTTTAAGAATTTCAGCTCCCATTTTCCATATCTTGATACCAGAGACCACTCAGGGCTTTTTGCTCCTGTGCCTGAAATGCACCTCCTCTGGTTTTGCATGTTTAATACTTTAGAGAAGGATGATAAACATGGGCATATGTGAAGAGTAACAGCAATAAAAAAATCCAGCTTGCCAAAGAAGGGTTTATTTAAACTGACCTAAATCATGAGTAAATTCTGCTCCTGGGAGCAGACATGTCAGAACTAGCCATTTAGGCTTCTATTTTATTATCTGGACAGGTTAAGGCAGTAAAAAAGGACAGAGAACCCACCAAGAAAGCTACTTCAAGAAAACTTAACCCTTAATTCCACTCTTGTAAAGATGTTCACTGAAGGTGTATTGAAACCAAAATTTAAAACACACTAGTAGGTTTTTATTGAGATCTACCTTATTTGACCTGTGTTTCAGAGGCTGGACAAGGAAGACACAATGAGTCATGGTATATAGCAATAGAATCAAGGAAGAATGGCTTTGAGCTTATGGCTTGGACACAAGACAGAAATTCTACATATCAAAGTATTTAATAAGCAATGGCCTTTCACTGCTGCAAGTAAAGTTTGGTTGGTTGGTTTTATTAGATTTTGCTAGTAATCACACAGTTTTCTCCTGGGTTTCCTTTGTATTTTTTAAAGTTCCCACTTTCTGCTGTAGTAATTTGATTATTTGACTCAAAAACAGTAGTGGGGCTAACATTGATTTGATCATTGTACTGCTTGAAACTTCATTCTCTGTTTGTACCAATACAGTCCCTCATGTTTATTTTTAATTGATAACATTTACAGAAGAGATTCAGTCATTTTCTCTTTCTATAATGAGCAAGGATGAAATCAATAGAGAACTGATTAACCTAAGAGCCTAAGCAGGTTCCTTGTAAATTAATTGCTAGTTCACAGACTCCCTAGAGATTTGCTTACAAAATCAGACAGTATTTTTTCCAGAGAATCTCACCTCATTGAAGTTCCTCAATAGGTCTGTTTGGGGAATGCATGGACACTTATTGCAAAAGAGGTTATTGGCATAGGACTTGCCTCATATGAGGAAGATGAGAGATGTGTAATGAATGAGGATAGGGACTCCAGAAAGAGAAATTAAAGTTTCACTGTTAAAGCAGTTGAACTCTATTGTGAAGAACAGAGAAACAGTTTTTATGGAAAGTGACTTCCATTTTGTCCTTTTTGTGTCTTTTTTGGCACTGAGCCAAGATCCTGAATTCAGATTTACACAAGTGCTGAATAATCACACCTTAATTGAAGCATACTTTAAATGTGTCAGCTAGGGGGGGAGGGGGAAGGCAGGTTCCCCCCCAGATATTCAAAATCTTGGCAATTGAAAACCAAATATCCAAAATCAGCATGTACCCAAGGTAAATATGTTCTTCTCTGTGCTTCAGTTCTTTATGAGGAGAAATAACAGCTCTGTTATAATTCACAGAAGTGTTATGAACATGAAAATGAGAAAGCAAAGAAAGATATCTCTGAGAAGATCAATACTTTTTTTTAATGGGCTTTGAATGGTGCACGTTCAATAAGGAAAAGGGATCCCCACCCCCTGAACACTGCAAATTTTTGTTTGCAGAGCTCTGATAAGCCACTCTTACTCCTTTGCAGATCATATAGGGTTATTTGTGCTCGTTATTAAAATTATGCACACTTGCATGCTAGCCAGGTCTCTCCTTCCAATTCCTGCTCTGTATCTATTCAGTGAACCAAAATGCAGGCACTCTTTATTTCCCACACAGTTTAGACTAAACGTGATAAACCTGCTGCATCTTCACGTCCTGATCCCATCCCTTTCAACAACAAAGGGTGTCAAAAAATATTAAGGGCTGGCCTGACCCCAGTTCCCTTTCTGTGGGATTCCACAGATCTGAAGCAGCAAAAAAATACAAAAATAAACCAACCCCCCCAAAAAACCCCCATGGCTGTGCCCACCTCAGCCAGAGCAGCAGAGAAGTGATTACAGTTCTTGTGCATCAGGTGGTAGGCGTTGCCTTTGTACTCCTTGCCCAGCTCTTCCATAATCTTATCCACGTCCTCTTCTGTGAAGTCTGTAGTGCCCAAGGCAATGGATTCTCTAGTTAAAAACAAAACACACAATGGGAAACATGGAAAGATACAGTGAAGAGAGTGATACATGCCCAGGGAAGAGGAAATGGTTGGGCATTGGCAAGAAGGAGGGGCTTAAAGCATGAATATGCATATCTGGGGCTTTCAGAACCTCTCACGAACAAAATGGCACAGGAATATTACCAGCTTATCCACTAAGCAGGCTACAGCACAGGCAACAATCCCAAGAGCTTCCTGCTCAACACCAGGGACGTCTGCTCCCACTCTGCCTATTGTCCCTCAGTAGAAACTTCCAGTAGAGCAGAGATTATTTCCTCGTGGTGAAGAAGGTTTCCATGGGGTGGACTATGAAGGAGCAGACTGAGAACGTGATGCAGAAAACTATTGCTTCTCCCAGTTTTCACCCAATAGGGCTTACACTTCCAAAGGTCTCCAATGACCTGCAGTGTAAACTGGCAGCCCCACCTGCTATGGGCCCACAGTTTGACCCACAGCCCCACAGTCTGAGCACCTTGAACAACATGTTAATGCGGTATCCTCTCAGACTCCCCCAGCAGCTGGCCTGTCCCTTGAGACAGAGTAGCAACAAACACAGGATATAATTTCTGGTTCAGTGTCCATAAATAGGTGACACTCGTAACAACACTAGATTTTGGGGTTTTCCCTGTGCAGTGGCTCTGTGTAACACACAGTTACTCCTGTTCTTGGTGACAGGTGAAACTGGGAGCACAAAAACCCATTAAAATGAGAAAAGAGAACTTCAGTCATTTGTGAGTATGCTTCTACACCCTGCCAAACACAGTTCAACACTGTTCCCTGTTTGGTGTGCACACTCCAAAATTCTTGCCTCTGAACCAGAATGATGGGAAGGATGCAGTGAGGGCACTTATGAGGAGAGGGAAAGGGGGACAGAGGATAGGACTTTCCTGCTCCCCCTATACTGATGGCTACCAGGAGGGAGTGAGGAAGAGGTAGAAAAGTGCCCTTACTTGAATTTAAAGGTCTCGCCAAGTTCTACTGCACTGCCAGGGGTGATCTCAAAAATCCCACTGAAAGGATAGGGATGCCCTCCGTAGGCAAACTCTGACAAGGAAAGAAACAGACTGTGAGTAATCAAATGAAGGCAACATCAGGAAGAAGTCTATGGCAGCTGTCAGCACAGCTCAGCATCAGCAGTAGGGGCTGGGCTACTGCCAATGGCACTTTCAGCCAGACTCTGAAAGTAATTTTCTCTGTGCAGCTACCTATCAGCCTGAGGATGCCCTCACAGCCTCCCTCAGTGCTCATACTACTCCTTTCCCATGGCACCAGCAAAATTCTCCGAGTCTGCTTCTGTGCCTGTCCAAGTGGCTTCCTCTCAGTGGAAAGTTCTGTGATGGAGGCATCTAGAAACACTACAAGAGGCTGCTGATGGAATAAGTCTTTTCTAGAGTAAGGAGAAATCAGGGTGTTTTTTCCAGAGAGATTTACAGGCAGCAACCAGGAATTCTTTGCAGAAAGCCAAGCTGAAGCCAGGAGGTCCCCCTATGTCATACAAGCCTGTTTAAAAACACCTCTGGACCTCACAGTGTCATGCACACTACCTTGCACAACCTGTGAAGCCTTATATGCAACAACAGTTTTATCTACTGTGTGGCACTGGCTAAAAATACCATGAGTGAGACATCCCAAATCATTCCCACTTAATTCTGGAGAAGGAAACAAAGTCTGCAATGCTAGTCTGTCCTTCACTGCTCTACAGCTGTTTTCCCAGATTTTTTGACTGTTCCTTTTGCAATGGTTGTTCTTGTCAGACCATTTCAAGTCTTACAAGACATTTTCTTTTCCTTGTAGCTCTGATGTTTCAAAAGAATGGTCTCCAAGAGCTGGAAATACAGATTCCAAGAGTCCTAGACCACAGACATTCACAAAGAATTACTGCAAAACAGATTTACTTTGGCAGGGAATTAACACAAATATACATATGCACATCTCAAGACAACCACTGATGCACCTCTCTTTCCCCTCTCCCTTATTTTGTCCCTTCTCTCTCCTCTTTCTTCACTGTGAAATGGCTTTCCCACATTGCTTGGTCCCTCCTGTCTGCCATCCAGCCACACACCTGCACAAGCTACAAAGGCTGCAGCTACAAGCTGAAAATATCAAGGGCTACATGGGTCGTGACAGAACTGCAGTAGCTCCTGCTGGACTCCAAAATGGACTCTAAAAAGAGAAGTGCCTGTGTTTTTCATTCCTCAGAACATTTCCTGCCAAAAGCTGTATGTTTGGGGTGTTTTTCTGTATAAGACAAGCCAGAGAGTTGTCCCTGTGTTCTGCAGATAGAGAAAAGGAAATACTTCATACCTCTGCCGTAGATCTCGATGCCCGAGTGGAAGACACCAATCCCCAAGGTGGAGGTGTATTCATTTATCCAGTACTACAGTAAGAGAAAAGCCACATTTGGAAGCATTAGTGGAAAAGAAACACACTATCTTGGTCTAGGATATATCTCTTATCTCCCAGCCTCAGGGCAACTTTTCTTAAGGACAACAATGATCTTTAAATTATCTTGAGACAAATAAATTGAGACTCCTTACAGACCAACAGAAGTGGGTACTGTATTTATACAGCTGATTGGGATTAGTCTACAAAAAAATGCTCATCTAGTCCTTTCCATGTAAGGCATTTCCCTGTATTCCGTGGTATGGGACTGGACCTCAACCTGCATAAATCCAACTGCTACAGGATGTGTGATTGTTTATCTGTCTTCTCACTTAAATAGCTGACCCTGATCCAGTTTTAGCAATTCACTTATCTTATCTGATTTACAAAATCTTAAGTTAAAGAATCCCCAAATATTTTCTCCACAACATTTTTCATCATTTCCCAACATCTACTTTCTATTAAGTTGTTTTTAGGCAATGAAATCTTGGGAGAAAGAGATCCATTCCTCCTGCAGGTCAGAGGAGCACCATTTAGTAGTTATCTGTATGACACTGGTAGAAAAAAAAGCAGCTCTGAGAACACTAGCCAACATTTTGTTTAGAGGCACCAAATACCATCAAGCATCATTTCCAGAAGGGACAAGGACTTACTGCTCCAAAATTAGGTCCAAGGTGACCACAGCTTCACCCAAGTCAAAGACAGATTTCCAAGAGTAGCTGTTAAGAAGTGACTTCATTGCTCTGGAGTCCAGCACTCCCTGGCACATTGAGAGCAGAGGAATACTGCAGGCCAGGGCATGCCACCAAGCACTGCTCACTGTATCCACCATAGCATGAAGGACAGTGCAGACACCCAAACAGGTCCCAGCTAAGCTACTTCTGGAGCTGGAAGCTGCGCAGCCGTGCCAGGGCAGTGCTGCATTGGAGACAATTAGCCCTGGGCAGCACCAATATTTATTAGGTTAGCTACAGAGCTGTGCTGCTACAGAAATGATGTTTTCAGGCAATGAGTGGAAACTGCCCATGCCTGGTATATTTACAGCTCTCTTACAGCTACTGTGCACTGAAGATGCATCTTAGTAACTCAGAGCAACTGAATTCTTGTTTTAATCAAGCACTGCAAGAAAAGTTAGCATTGTTCACTTGTCACTGTACAATGACAAGTTCATTCAGCTAAAATTCTCTTTGGGGTCTGGTAGCTGCTTCTGGTGGAGCCAGAAGAAGCTGCACCTTCCCTGGTGGCTGGTGTGACTGAGCTGCCACAGTACGAGTGAGAACCCCTCTGCTGTTGGGTAACCAGAGGTCTGGCATGCTCCATCTGCTTCCCTCATACTGCTTGCTTATGTATTTTTGATGACTGAAGAAGCTCTGTAAATCACCTAGAAATACTTTCTGTGAGACCACCACCACTGTGGAGAAACACAGTAGTAGCTTTGATATGAAAAGTGCAGTCCCAAGCCTGACTTAATGTATGGCCAATCTTGATACCTTAAGCCATGTACCCAAAATGTTGGCTTCTGGGCAGTTCAGCAAATCCATTTCCCTCCAGTAGATGCTGTAATACTTCTTGTTCTCTGTGAGTTTTGGTATCACAAATTATGCTGCAAGAAGGCAGCAAAGCACCTGACCCTAGCTGGACCCCTGCCCACTGCTCCCTTCAGACCTTGTATAACCTCTGTTTACCTCTTCACTTCAATTATGCAAACTCTTGTTTTCATGATACATCAGAGCATTGGACTGGAGCTCTCAACCTATGCCAGCACATTAGCAATGAACCCTCTGCTGAACATCATAACTGGTATTTAAGGATATGATGTGCTTTGCTTTTTGCTGCCCTTCTCCACAGATCTCAGATGCCCTGTCCTCTGCA